CAACCCATGTTTCAATATCTACCATCTCACAGATTACTGCCCATTCTTATGGGATGAACTCGGATTCCCATCTCTCGGTGGAGGTCCCAACAACTACTTCAATCGTACCGATGTCAAAGAAGCTCTCCATGCGCCAGTCGATGTTGATTACTACATCTGCGCTGGTGGACCCAACTTATTCCCACATGGAGATAAATCCATTGATTCTGCTCTCGGTCCTCTCCCCTCCGTCATCGAACGCACAAACAATGTCCTCATCGGCCACGGACTTCTAGATTTCCTCCTCTTCGCCAACGGTTCTCTAATCACCATCCAAAACATGACCTGGAACGGTCTTCAAGGATTCCAAGAAGCTCCTTCTTCGACACAAAACTTCTACGTCCCATACCATGAATCCCTTGGTACTATTCTCTCTATTGTGAACGATGCCATTCCTAACACACCCCCACAATATGATACTGCAGGCGCGGGATATCAGGGAACTTGGCATACGGAGAGAGGACTTACGTTCTCGACAGTTAACCTGGCGGGTCACGAGGTTCCTCAATATACTCCTGGAGCAGGATACAGACATTTGGAGTTTTTGCTGGGGAGAATTGCTAATCTGAGTGTGGTGGGTGATTATACGACGCAGACGGGAAATTTCACGGGTGTTAGTGCGCCGTTGAAGATGAGGGGCTTGTATTGAGGCAATGATATAATGAAATCATGAACGTGGAAAAGTTAGGGTTATTAATGTCAGTAGTATATTCGCGCTTGTACATGAAGTCTACCGACATGATGCTGAGAAATATAAACGAATGTCACAGATAGATATCCTAATACATTAATATGTAAATAATAAAGCAAAATGATTCCTCGACGAGCTGAGTTCTCTTTCTACACTTGAAATGACATCATACGAAGATAGCAACGATAATTTCTAGTCTTCGGCCTTTTGATCTACAACAGAAAACTTCAACCTTAAAATGACCATCTCTTATTCCTCGTTTTCGCTTTATCAAGACATCTTTACTCGTCTTACCCCTTCTTTTCTCATTATTCTATGTTCCCCCCCCCAAACAAATCCAACGGCCAAAAAGGTTCGCCAGACTCACTACTAACAGTTACACTCGCTGACTAGGTATATCTTCATGGTGCCTAGACATTCGCTGTCATGATCTCAGATGGCAGATATCTGACACGCTGCAAAGTAGCCAACTCACTCCCCATTAAGCTGTCTGTATATATGATCAGAAATCAAGCACCCAAACAACCTGTTCAAGATTATCAGTAAAGTAGCCCTTAGCCATGGAAAGAAGAGTCAGGGCATCACATCAAAGTATGTACTTGTGATAGGCTTTACATGGGTGCGAGCGGAAATGGAATGGAATGGGACGGAGAAGGGCTCGAGCGGATACAGTTTATGGCCGTTGCCCGTTCACCCCGCTTGCTCGTATATTATGCTCCGTTCACTCAACCTGTAAATGGATGTTGTGTTGTCAAGGCGAGGGACAAAAGAGTTTACCGGAGACTGGGACTCATCCATACTGTTGAGACTTTGAGTGTAATGTTGGGCTTTGGTCTCTCCGATTGCATTCCTTACTGATTGTACATGTGGAGTTGTAAGTTGTAAGCTGCGAGTTGATACATGTTATGAGCCCATTATCAATGAATGTGTCTCTCTAATACTCGAGAATTCTCTTTTCGCAAGAACTATTGGCATGTGAGTAGGAGGAATAGGAATAGGAAAGTACACAAATGCGTAATGCGCCACAAGCGCCACACTTCACATTCATCATTGCTTTTGCTTTAACTTGATTATTGACATGTGAGCCAAATAATAATAAAATACCTAGGCAGGAATCGTCGAATGTCTCAACACAAGGTCGATCCGACGGCACAGCTTTGACGATATCCATAAATTCTGAGCTGTTCAATCCTCCTCGACATATTTTGTTGAGTTGCCCTAAGGAATTCCTCCATGACCTCCCAGTCGAACCTTCAATATTCTCTTTCGATACTTGTATTCCACCAAGTGTTCGATACTCCACATCCACCATGATTAACAATTCATGGGCTGAGTATGTCTTCATCCGCATTTGTATTTTTGCGCTGCAGAGTATACCACTTGTTAGTTTAGCATATTGTTTCAGCCTCGCATTTACTACTTTCTTTACGAATTACGAATTTTACAGAGCTTCGCGCGGTTTGGAATTGGTGTTCCTGGCCGAATCTTTCTTCTTCCTCTTTTGCTTCCTGCCGTATCGCATTTGGCTTCAACAAGAAGCTATACATCCACCAGCACCTTCGCGAGAAGAGAGGGCGATTTTGTATCAGAGGTGTTCGGACAATATTACGGATCCGGAGGCGTATCTGCAGAAATGGTTTTTGGGTGCGGATATTAGGGATATTAGGAAGGAGAATGTGAAGGAGTTCTTTCTTTGGGCTTTTTTTAATCGTGGTGGACCGCCTGGGGATGATGATGAGGAGTTGGAAGAGTACATTGGAACTTTGGAGAGGCAGCTAGGAAGGGAGATTCCGGAGGGAAGAGGAAATGCTAAGTGTTTGAGGTTGACATTGGATGAGGTTGCTATGTCGCATAGGAGTTTGATTTGGTATTGTGTGAGTATTCTTATTCTTGATCTGCTATCAATAGGTCATGCTGATTTTAACTACCACAGTGTGTCGGATTCGTCGACTTCCTAACGTTCTGTTCCCTGCGCTACCATGGCTTCAACTTTTACCGCACGAATCTTAAACAATCCCTTAGCATCATTCCTGTTCGCCCGCACAGTCTATTTACTACATTTCACTCACCTGCTCAGCATATATCATATTGGCACCGACCGCACACTTCGAAAACCAAACTCCCAGTTGTTTTCATTCATGGCATCGGCATCGGTCTATATCCCTATACCCAATTCCTGAACGAACTCAATGCCTCCACCGGCACACCCGATGATCATATTGGAATTCTTGCTCTCGAAATAATGAACATTAGTTTTCGTCTCACTCATTCTGCCCTCTCGCGCGAGGAAACCGCCCTCGAAATTTCCCAAATCATCAATCAACATTTCGGGCCAAATCAGAAATTCGTCCTAATTTCTCACTCGTACGGCACAGTGGTGACCACGCACCTTCTGCAATCTCCAATTTTATCCCCACGCATCGGCCCAATTGTTCTCATCGATCCTGTCTCTATCTGCTTACATTTACCTTCTGTCGCATTCAATTTCACTCGTCGAATTCCGAAAGATGCGAATGAATATCAATTGTACTATTTCGCAAGCATGGATCCGGGAGTTAGTCATACGTTGGGAAGGAAGTTCTTCTGGAATGAAAATGTGCTATGGAAGGAGGATTTCGAGGGGAGGAAAGTTACGGCAAGTTTGGCGGGAAGAGATTTGATTGTGGACACGGAGGCAGTGGGGAGGTACTTGAGTTGTGGAAATTTATCCGGTAGATCGACTCCGAGTTTGAGGGCTACGCATGGAAATGTGAATGGGGCAGCCAAGAGTACTTCGAATGTAAATGTCGCGCCTTTGATAGATATTGACGAATCGGGAGCTGGAGAAGTGGAAAGACCCGTAGATGGAGAAGTAATGCGAGAAAACGAGGTGGATATAGAAGATGAAGACGAGTGGAAGTATAGAGAGTGGAAGGGAGTAGGAACAGAAGTTTTATGGTTTGGGACGTTGGATCACGCGCAGGTTTTTGATAAGAAGGTGACGAGGAGGAGGATAATTGATGTTGTGAGAAAATATTGCCAGGATGATTAAGGAATAGGGGTAGCGGGATGGCGAAGGAAAATTGTTTGTGATCCGAAGAGTAGAGAGGGGTGGAAGATTAGATTCGATTAGATGTCGAAGACTTAGACAGAATAGGTGCATAACATGGTGGAATGGAAGGAGAAGTAGAAACAGAGTAATTCGAGTATAGACCTTCAAAGACCTTTAGTTCTCGTTGAACACCTAAACGTACATTATCAAAATCTTGTGTCTTCATTATGAGTAGCGCTTAATGAGTGAAATAAGCCGCGCATCCAAGTTGAATAGAGCTATTCAGAACTCCTATTGGCACAAGTTAAACCACTTCAAAGTTCCAATCCAGATTTATCTTACTGTTACAAGCTCCAAAAAAATCTTTTGCTTGCCAAAAGGCGTAAGTAGTTTTCTATCTCAGATGGGGAATGCTTCAAGGTATCTGTTTTTCCCCGTCTGAATTATGTCAAGGGTACACACGGAACAGACATCTTTTGAGTCTCACCTCCCTCAACTTCCCCTTATGCAAGATCATACATATATTTCGCACAATTGCACAAAAACGTAATTGTAAAAGTTGCACCTCGAAGTATCAACCTACCCACCTACTTATCAGTACAAACATGGTTATCTATAGATACTCGCATTCAACATCCAACACTCTACCCGCAAATAAGCAGCGTTGTAGAATCTAGAACCTGATTCTACCCTACCCTACCCTACCCTACCCTTTCTGCACACCTAGTATGCTTATTTCAGCTTCCCCGCGTTACCTAGCGAGCCTAGGTTCGAGATATCAGTATTCTTCCCTTGAGCAGCTCCTCACCGGCGACACCGGCGAAGCGACGCGCAGCATGTCTGCAAGGACGACTGTGCGAGGTGCTAAAATCTACCTGCGGTACGGAAAATGATCAAAAGGGCTAGAACGCGGGATGGAGAGTGGAGAGTGGGTCCAGCTGAAAGAAGAGCAGCTGAAGGGTAGCGTGCGCGCGTGCAAAAATTTAGGTTTGGGATACGGAGGGGGCTAGAACTCGATAGATTTTTACAGAGGGGAAGATATTGGGATTTATTTCAATTGAGTGGTTTGGTCACTTCGGTATCACTTTGGTGGCGGCGTGGAGCTGGCTGAGGTGGAAACGAGGTGGCTTTGTGGTTAATGCAGAGAATGGGATACGATGGATGGGAATGGAGATAAATAGGAGATTCCCAGCTTCTTCAATGTTGATGATGGTTTTGTATCGATGAACCTATTCAAACATGTCTTTCATAAGTGAAAGCATTATTCCAGATTGCCGAATCAAGCCTGCCCGAAAGCGCATCATAATCTGCTGCGATGGAACCTGGCAATCCGCTGTCTCTGGAAAAGACAATTGTCCATCTAACGTAACACGTCTCTGTCGCGCCATCAACAGCGTCGCTCGAGATCCAAATGATGGAGAAACCTGGCAACAGGTCGTTTGGTATGATTCTGGAGTGGGAACCACATCCACGGGTCTAGGACCTGGACTTGAGGGAGCGATTGGTCAGGGATTGGAAGGAAATGTTATCGAGGCGTACAATTTCTGTGTACTGAATTGGAATCCGGGAGATAAGATTATGTGTTTTGGATTTTCTCGGGGTGCGTACACGGCGAGGACGATTGCGGGTTTGATTTCGGATATTGGGATTTGTCCAAAGAGGCAGCTTCAACAATTTCCTGATTTGTGGAAGTTGTACAAGCAGAAAAAGTCCGGGGATGATGAGTCCAGAAAAAGGTTTTATGGCAGTGCTCTGTACTATAGTTGGCGAGAAGGGAGAGTCGCTGACCCGCAACCGGATTCGGAGGATCGACCTGATGGAGGGTTAGTTTGGGATATAAAGGCTCATGGTGAATGGGCCCCCGAAGAATCAATGGAAGTAGAGGTGGTGGGAGTCTTTGATACTGTCGGAGCTTTAGGGTTGCCAGAAGTGTTTGGGATGGAATTGCCCAAATGGACGACTATTGGTGATAAGCCTGAATGGCACAATGTTGAGCTTTCAGCCAGTGAGTCCTTCTACTGATAGAGCTGCATTGATTGAGAAACTAATTCACAGCTCAGACATCAAGCATGCATTCCAAGCGCTAGCCCTTGATGAACACCGCGAAGCATTCACACCTACTCTTTACTACATCAAAAAGCCAGAGGATTTTACAGACTCTGAAATAGAGGCACAACGGACTATATCAGATAATGCAAATATAGAGTGGTATGATATGGTTTCTAGTCCTGAACCTAATCTCGAAAAATTGAGAGATCTGGCCAAAATTCGAGACGAAGCCACTGAAAAGGTCGTTAAGATGGAAGAAAACAATAAGATGAAGAAAGCACTAGTCGATGGTGAGAAGGTACTGGAACAAGTCTGGTTTCCTGGCTACCACATACACATTGGTGGCGGATCAAGTGATACGCTTTTGAACAAGGACAATATGGAAGAAATGTCCAACATTACGTTAGCATGGATGCTAGACCAGATCGAAAAATATGTGTCGATTGACAGGGAAACCATAAAGGAAGACGGTTACGATCGTCAGGGGAAATTCGCGCAACTGAACAACGAGCGCCAAGTCCATCTAGACAGAGAAAAGGAGCGCGAGAAAGAGGGCTGGGGTCAGTGGATTTGGCGAAATGGCAAATGGGCAGCTTCCAAAGTTGCTCATCCACTGACTGACGAAAAGAACATTCACTATGAAGAGCGACGACACGCATGGGGTGTTGGAGATCTGAATGATAGTTTCACTACCATGTATAAAGCCAATGGATCGAAACCACGCACACCAGGTCGCTATGCTCTTGATAAGAAAGGCAATAAGCTGGGCGAAACACATGAATATATTCACCCAACTACGGGATTCAGAGTTGAACAGCTGGATAAGAAATCAGAAGAAGCGAGGACACAGAAGGACCATAGGGATCACAAGAACTGGGAAAAATTGAGATACAGACCTATTGGCCTAGAGGGTGACAAGTACAAACGCCAGAAGAAAGTCGATAAGCAAGGAAAGGTGACAGCATATGAGTATGTTTTCAAGTACAAAGATTGTTCAGAGACGCTACCAGAATGGCGATTAGGTGACGCGGATTGCTATGAGAGGCTAGCTCTTGAAGGCTCCGCTGCATATGACTATGTCGATGAGCTTGATCGAACTTTGGAAACTGGTATTAAGACTGTTCGTCTTGATTTCTGGGGCGATAAAGCGTCGTCGTTTCAAGTCGTCTCTAATTAATAAAGGCATAAGGTTGGCTATATTTCGGTCTGTAAGCGCTTGGTTTGTATAAATTGTATATAATTTCGAAGTAGTATATATTTATATAAGGGGTCTTTCATTGATACATATATAATAAAAATGATAGTCCTCGAATATAACAATTTAATAAATGTGAGACTGAGAAAGTTGATAAGATTTTCTACAAGCAAAGATGGCTCAGGAGGGGCAGAAGATAATCAGGGACCAACTGAGTAGTGCCACACTTCTCCATTAGCGGCCGAGCCCCGCATCCACCCTAAATTTCGTCATTGGTTGCTGGGGTACAGGTATAATGCCCAGGTAGGTAGGAGGTACCTAGCATTTCCAAGCTACAAATAAACAAGGCTCTACTCTAGACAATTCACTATCACGCGGCTAAGCTAGGTATTTAACTAATACATCTTTCAACCTTTGTGTTTCTTTCTTTTCTTCTTCTTGTTTTGCTGTAGCAACCAGTTTGACAACCGAAATTTACTTTATATCCTCCCTCGGAACATATCCCTTTACCAAACATCCACACATCTATAGAAACAATAGATTCGAATCCTTCCTACCTACTTACCACAAACTCACAACCTCATACATTATATTCGCAAAAATGTCGGAGCAAACTCAAGAACCCCTCGTCGATACAAGTTCCGTTGTAAGACCAGCACAACACGAACGCCAAAAGAGTTTAGAGAAGTTGTATGCCGATAGGCCCACGGCTCATGAGTTGAAGGAGAGACATATTTTGCTAGATACAGATGCTGCGCCGTATGCTTTTCTCTTTCTCTACCATCCTACTAAATGCTATCCCCATCCCCATAGTCCCCCCGTCTGCTATCGTGTTCTGGCAGTTTGTTCATCAACGTGCTAATTGCGGGGTAAACAAAATAGTGGTATTCAAAGTGCTCAACACGCACTCGAACAACAAAGAATTTCGGATAGTTTGAAGAAGAATTTGGAACATCGTCCTACTAAAGAGGATTTGGTTGAACGTATGTATCTCATTCCGTCACAAATGCTTTTTTCACATCCCATTTCGATCGAAATAAAAGCTAACAACGAAAATCAGGCAACATTCTCTCTTCCACAACCGCCGCCCCAGGTATCCAAGCACAACAAAAAGAATTGGAGAAACACATGCGTGCAGATAGTTTGAACGAAAAATTAAGTCATCGTCCGCAACCGGAAGAATTGGTGAATAAGGGTGTTTTGAAGGAGGATCCTACGAGTCCGATTGAAGGCAGCAATGAGAGTGCCGAGAAGAGATACGAGGAAGCTATTGAAGAGGAATATGCCAAGAGAGAAGGAGGTGCTTAGATTCACGGCGATTTATTGCGATTGGGCTGAAGGGAGTTTTTGATCTATAAGTGTGAAGGAGTTGTTATTTAGCATGTATGCATGCGATATGATTGCAACAACGAGAAAAGAGGAGTACAAACGCTGAATGTGAAAATGGGAATAGGAATCGGAGTGCGATTAGGGATGGGTTGAAAGATGCGACTAGTATTTGCGATTTTCTAGTAAGCAATGAATTATACCACAATTCTCGCATATGATTGCCTCATTTTGTCTCTTCGAGCGACTGGTTCTACTTTGTTCATTCTGAGATCTTTTTGTATACCAATGGATTAGTCTGCTCTGTGGGTTATTCCCAAGGACACAATACGCACTTTCATATATCCCACAAAGCAAAGCACTACTAGTTGCTAGGCTGGAAGCCCAAAGTTAAACCGTGGTCTAAATTGTAGATTTGACCTCTATATTATTAGGTAGCGAGAAGTGGGAAGCTAGTATGATGTCATTGATTAGTGAATTTGGTTCTAGGTGGATTGTGCTACTGAAGATATAACTATTACTGGTAGGCCACTAATGCACCGCGACATATTGTTGGGTATCTGAAATTTATGCAAAAAAGAAAACATGCTCTACCCATCCTAAGAGCCCATCAAATGAACTCCCCAGAATGCCAAATCCCATCCTAACACATCATTGCTTCATTCTCATACCCCGTTTCAGAAGCACAACTTTCGCTGTTTAGGATCACTAGGAGTATTTCCTTTATCCTTCGATTTCTCTCCTGCCTTGGTTTTCCTTGAACTACCAATCTGAGATTTGTGGCCACTTCCGGATACAGATGGTGTCTCAGGTACCCCGGACGTCTCTTGAACTACATCTCTGATCGTCTGTCTCGAAAGACAAAGATCAATATGATCATTGAATTCCTTTTCATTTGTCGCTTGCGGCCGCTGACATACTGGACAGTCCCACCATTCTTCTTCTACCACAGCACCGTCCTTCGGTTTGGGATTCGGCACAATTTCTTTTCCGTGATGCCGCCGTGGATCATTTTCTTCGAGTTGACTTAAACTTTCCATCTCCTTGAATTCATCTTCTCGTTCTTGACGCTCGGCATCTTCGAAGAGAAGTTCTTCAGGCCAAACTTCCCATCGCTCCTCGAAATCATTGTCTTGGAGATCCGATGCTTTCCGTTTTATTACAGAGGAAGATTTGCGTTCATTTCCGCCAACATCATTTTCCCGTGAGTCTTGTTTTCTAAATCCGAAAAAGGCCATTGTGTCAGGCTTTTTCATGCTGATTAAATTTGTACAACGGAGTCCCATCAATCGTAAGGTCAAACCCGGCATCTCCGCCTCCAGTTTCTCAAGCATGGGAAGAGAATATTTGTACAGATCGTCGGCTGAAAAGACAGCCTTTGGTGGGGCCGCCTGTCTTGTAAGAACCTCATAAGTTTTCAGTTTCACTTTAAGAACTAGAGTTCGCCCTTTGAACTGTGTTCGTTGCATGTCTTTTTCCAACTCCTCAGCTGTATGTCGAAGTTTGCTTCGAAGTTCTGTAGCATCATTCATTTCATTGAATGTGCTTTCTGTGCCGACACTCTTGCGGGTATACTCCTCGGCCGGTTTGACGTCTGTTCTCCCGAGTCCAAGATAGCATTGCATTAGAAATATGAACGCCTTTTCTCCAAACAATTTGGGTAGATAATGTCGCACATTATAGATATCTCCGCATGTATTGACGCCTATGGCACCTAGTTCCCTTTCGAATACTCGTCCAATTCCGTTAACTTTACGAGTTGGAAGGTCTCGCATAAATTTCATAATCTCAATTCGATTATTTGCAACACGATATTGACCATTAGGCTTATTGTAATTCGAGCATATTTTAGCCTAATAATACATAGTCAGTATGTTGATATTTAAAATCATTCTCGAGCTCTACAGTAACGGATTGATGATGATGGCCTCTTGCCCCGCCCATCATGCCGCTGGCTTCTAAACTTGCAGAATATACTCACTATCTTAGCATTGGCTGCGATTCCAGCAGATATGGTTACCTTCGTTTTCTCATGAACCTCTCTCCTCAACTGTTCAACAGCAGCCTCCGGGTCGATATCATTCTTTTGGCAGTACTCCGTGATGTTGAGATATGCCTCATCAATACTAGCACTCTCAAACCTTGGATCATAGTCTACCAAGATTTCCCGGACTTCTTGCGCCTTCGCAGTATATTTATCGAAATTCAGAGGAACCTGAATTAGTTGCGGGCACAATTTCTTCGCTATAAACCCCGCCATCGCACTTCTGACCCCAAATCGTCGCGCGTGGTAATTGCATGTTGTGACAACTCCTTTTCCAACAGAAAATGGAACATTTTTCAATTCTGGACGGTCAAGCTCCTCTACTGCAGCGTAAAATGCGTCGCAATCAATATGGACGATTGTTTGAGTCAGATCTCTTGTGAGTTCGAGCTCTGTAATCGCAGTGTCTGCTCGTCGACGGTCGTGAGTCAAATCAAGCTTCTCCAATTCGGCCTTCTTTCCTAAAATTCGTTCAATTTTTACAGTCAGAGTCTTGTCTCTTTCCTCCTCATGATTAAAATATTTGGACCCCTTCGAAGCATTGTAGATGACCTCGGAAACCTGGTGATAAAGTTAGAGAGACCACAAACATATTTTGGTCGCCACGTACCTTTGACTGGTCTACAGAATCTTGTCCAGATTTTGTGAGAGACGGGCCTAGTAAAGAATATTTGAGAGACTTATGCTCATTCTCGTCACTTTCTGGAGTTGTTTCCGATGCCATGTCTCGACGTCCATGCTCGACTCGTGGCGATTGTAAGAAACGCGAAAGGCATCATTGTTTGACGCGCTGTCATGCTTTCAATATAGATAGCTATTATGTAAGCGACTCAGAATGTCACTTCCTTCAGAAAACCCCCCCATGAAATGATATGCAGATGTTCATGATTTCAGATCGTCCTTCAAGGAGTACAGGTTTTGTATACGTTAGGCAATGTGAAATTTTAGAATATCTAATAAAAGTCTACAATAGCTTTCAAAAAGCGAGTTGATTATCAAATGATTGTGAACGGGCTCGGCTAAACTTACTCCGATATATTTGATCGATAAAAAAAAGTTACGCATGTTATCGAATGGATGAATGATACCACAATCCAGTAGCAACCATGAGTATGCATAGAGTAGCCCGCGCTGTGGCTTCAACGGAAGCTTGCGCCGGAGTGCTACGTGGGAGTGTCCCAAGAGCAAGATTTCTGTGCTTGAATTCACCTGTGCAAGGGCTCGGAGCAAGAAATGCGATTCTCGGTGCCAGATTGGGAGGAAAGAGACATTTCTCTCAATCGCCAATTATTAGAGCTGGCGTTGCTCAAGCAGTGTTGGAAAAGGCTGCCGCAGATCCATCAGCCCTCAGCCAAGAAGCCATCGTCGACAATCTAAATGCCGCAGAGAGGGATCGATTGAGGAGGGTTAGAAACATTGGCATCGCAGCACACATCGACAGTGGCAAAACGACCGCCACAGAGCGAGTTCTCTTTTACACTGGAAGAATCAATGCTATTCACGAAGTCCGAGGAAAGGATGCAGTTGGCGCAAAGATGGATTCCATGGAATTGGAGAGAGAGAAAGGTATTACAATTCAATCTGCTGCTACATTCTGCGACTGGTTGAAGGTTGAGAACGGGAAGGAGGAGAAATACCACATAAATCTGATCGATACCCCTGGACATATTGATTTCACAATTGAGGTCGAGAGAGCTTTGCGAGTACTGGACGGAGCTGTCATGATTCTTTGCGCTGTCAGTGGAGTTCAAAGTCAGACGATTACTGTGGACAGACAAATGCGAAGATACAATGTTCCTCGTATCAGTTTTATTAACAAGATGGACAGAATGGGCGCCAATCCTTTCAAGGCCGTCGAGCAGATCAATCAAAAATTACGGATCCCAGCGGCAGCACTTCAAGTCCCCATTGGTTCAGAGGACAGCTTCAATGGTGTCGTTGATTTAATTAGGATGAAGGCTATCTACAACGATGGGCCCAAAGGAGAAATCATCAGAGAGACTGATGAAATCCCAGAGGAACTCAAGAAATTGTGCGAAGAGAAGAGAGCTCTGTTGATCGAAACATTGGCCGATGTCGATGACGAGATCGCCGAGATTTTCTTGGATGAGAAAACTCCATCTATCGAGCAAATGAAGGCTGCTATCAGACGGGCAACTATCAACTTGAAATTCACTCCTGTCTTGATGGGAAGTGCTTTAGCTGACAAGTCAGTGCAGCCCATGCTTGATGCAGTCTGCGATTATTTACCAAATCCTGCTGAGGTCGAGAATTTGGCGCTTGACAAGCGAAGAGCTGAAGCCCCTGTGAAGCTTGTCTCTTACAATGAGCTACCATTCGTCGGTTTAGCCTTTAAGCTTGAAGAAAGTAATTATGGTCAATTGACCTACATTCGAGTTTACCAAGGATCCTTGAGAAAGGGCATGAACGTGTTCAATGCTAGAACCGATAAGAGAGTCAAGATCCCTAGAATTGTGCGCATGCATTCCAATGAGATGGAGGAAGTTCCTGAAATTGGAGCCGGAGAAATCTGTGCTGTGTTCGGAGTTGATTGTGCTTCTGGAGATACATTTACCGACGGTGGTTTACCATACTCTATGTCTTCTATGTTCGTACCAGATCCTGTCATTTCCTTGTCTATCAAACCAAAGACAACCAAAGATGGATCCAACTTCAGTAAGGCTATGAACAGATTCCAACGTGAAGATCCAACATTCCGTGTACATGTCGATGCCGAAAGTCAGGAAACCATCATCTCTGGCATGGGAGAATTACATCTTGATATTTACGTGGAGAGAATGCGAAGAGAGTACAAGGTCGAAGTTGAAACTGGTAAACCTCAAGTCGCTTACAGAGAGACCATCACTGAACATGTGGCATTCGATCACACCCTCAAGAAACAAACTGGAGGTGCTGGTGATTACGCTCGTGTCGTTGGTTTCTTGGAACCTATCGAGCCTGGTCCAAATGGTTATGCTCCATCAACTTTCAAGGAAGAAGTCACTGGAGGTTCCATTTCTGACAAATTCTTGTTCGCTTGCGAAAAAGGATTCCTCGCCTCTTGTGAAAAGGGACCCCTTCTCGGTCACCCTGTTCTCGGTACCCATATGGTTGTCAACGATGGTGCAACCCACATGACAGATTCTTCTGAAATGGCTTTCAAGAATGCCACTCAGCAAGCTTTCCGAAAAGCTTTCAAAGAAGGCAAACCACAAGTTCTTGAGCCTCTCATGAAGACTACCATCACAGCACCCAATGAGTTCCAGGGTAACATTGTTGGTTTGTTGAATAAGAGAAACGCTATCATCAGTGATACGGAGATTGGACCAGAAGATTTCACTCTCATTGCGGATTGTAGTTTGAATGCTATGTTCGGATTTAGTTCGCAATTGAGAGCAGCTACGCAAGGAAAGGGAGAGTTTGGTATGGAATTCAGTCATTATGCTCCTGCGCCAGGACAGTTACAGTAAGTAGTTTCCTGTATTCTCACCGTTATTTCAAGACACCTTATGCTAACACATCATCTAGAAAAGAGCTCATTTCCAACTACGAGAAGGCACAGGCTGATAGACACAAGAAGTGAAGTGAATAGCTGATGATGATTTGGAGGATTGAAGGAATTAGTCGTGTGTCGGAAAGGTGGTGACAAGTGACGAGATGGATGCCACGGAAATATAATGGGGCACAAAAATCTTTAGCACCGCTCACGACAAATTAAATACGATGTACAGGTATATGGACATGGGGGGCGTACAAAATAAAAGTTTCCATGAGCGTATGGGTGAGTACATGGTTTCAATGGGGGAATCACGTTTTTGGACGAATGGATGGATATTTGAATGATTAAGCGCGGGGGGTGGCCTTACGAAATAGATGGGTATATAGAAGATACCTCTACTGTATATTACTATAGCAAACAGATGAATAAAGACCTCTCGACTTCAAGAATAGATGAAATGGTATATGCGCCATCATGGGTAAAAACCAAATACTTAATATGATTCATGAATCCTAAAATGAAGCCTTGTGCCAAAGAATTTCCCAGTCAATTCTCCAAAGCCCTTTCGGTCCATTCCCACAATTGCTTTGCCAAATTTGGATCCTTAGCCGTTGTGTCCAAAGTTGAATTGCTCTCAACACCCACTGGCATGTAATATGCGCCATTGGTCAGCTCTTTCTTTTTGGCTCCTGCGGCAGCCCACGTCTGATTCATAATGCCTTGCTCAACCGTTATTGTTTGGCTTACACTAGTCACATAGACAAACCATTTATGCCAAAAAGATAAATTTGAGACTAGTCCCGTGTTGATGACTCCTGGATGAATCGCTACAGACGTTATCTGCGGATAACGACGAGCAAGCTCTGCTGCATACAGTATGTTGGCTACCTTGCTTTGTCCGTAGCGACTCCACGTCCCAAAGGGCAGATCCTCTTGGGTTGTTTTCAACTTGTCGAAGACGATGCCTTGGCTTGGACGAAACTTCCAGCCCAAGGAAGTATTCAATACAATTCGCACGTCGGAGGAGGGGAGCTCAGCAGTCTTGAGCATGATTGGTAGTAAATGATAGAGAACGGCAGCATTGCCGAGATGATTTGTTGCAAACTGGATTTCGTATCCGTCTTTGCTGAGAGCAGCAGGAACAGCCATGATACCTGCATTGCCCATGAAGATATCAAGACGATCATGCTTGAACATTTTGATACCGGCAGTGATTGATGAGAGCGAAGACAGATCAAGAGGAAGAAAGGTCAGGCCCGCTGATGGGATATCCTTCTTGATAGATTCTATGAGAGCTGACGCTGCGTTCTCATTACGTCCTGTGAAGTAAATGTGTGATGGGTTGTGTTTCGCAAGGACTTTGACTGCATTACTTCCAAGTCCTGCTGTACCTTTGATTGCCATTAGCTTTTGTGAACAATCATGACTAGGGTAGCTTTTAGCGTCCTCACCTCCAGTGACCAAGATAACTTTGTCTGTTAAAGTAGGTATATCCCTCTCCGGCCTAAAATTAATATCTCTAATGCCGCCCATACCGACAATTTTATTAAAAGATAAAGTAGGTAAAAGTTTAAGTAGTAGTAATAAAGGTGAAAATAAAGGGGATGAGGATTTGGAAGTGGCTGAAATAGGTTCTTGGTGCAACTTGCACGAAATACTCAAAAGTGATTGTATATATAGACGGCCGCAATTAAACCAAGTGAGGTATTAGGGATCCTGTACTTAAGAAAGGGATCGATACTTATATACTTGAACCTCAATCAGGGAGTCCTGAGCGTGGCATCGCTACTGCCATCAGCTTACAAGCTAGTTTCCCAAACAATACTAGTAGACGATAACTAAGTGGCCAACTCTGGCTCACATATGGATAGCACTGGGTCACCTTGATGAGGAGAAAAGCTGTTATATCAGAATCTGGATGAACATATCGTTTCCGCAGCGTTGTGAAAGGATGAGATCCATGAAATGCAGTGGCTTGTTTGGTGGCTCGTGTGGATGAAGGCTAAACTGTATTTGGGTGGATTTGTGTAAGCAAGATGCATCAATCAATCAAGAGCTTGCTACCCACCCGCCAACCCCCTTCGGGACGATGCTACCTCGTTCATCCGAGGCGTCATTCAGTATTCTTCAAAGATGGTGGAATTGTTAATATAAAGGTTCGCTCTTTTGATCTAAGAAGTGTAAGCAGATTGCAGAAAATCACTTTTATTGTCTCAACCGCTTATCTTTTTCTTGGCATGCTTCAATTGTTTGGAAATCACGACAAATAGAAACCATGAACACCATGCAGAAACTTTCTTATAAGGTAGAGCCAATGAATCAACTGACCGAGGTAAATACTATATATTTCTTTATATCGTCACCTGATTTTTGAAAATGCTGATTGCAACTCATAGGCCAAGAAGGACGAGGATGACTGGACTGGTACAACAGATGCAAACGAAAGGAGAAAGCGACAAAATCGTTTAAATATTAGAGCGTTCAGTATGTAACTTGTCAGCTCAATCCTGTGCTTTACATGCGTAAACCATCAAAAGACTTCTCTGATCGCAGAAATTTCGGATCATCCCTCCCTTTTCATCTTCCACTTTTAGAAATATTTCAATTGTATTAAAAAAGAAGTGTAGTCGGTCATCACCACCCAGATACCATGGCAATTCTTGGGCAAAGCTTTTCTTAACCCTAACTTTCTTAGAGGCTATCAGTATTTCTTGAATATTTGGATTCGGCAGTAACGTAGCTGACTTGGCCGCAGGAAGACGCAAGGCACTTGAGGCAAAGTCCACTCCGAAAGACCAATTCGTTATATGGAAGCCACAGCCCCGGCCTAACACTTCAGCTCAAAACTCTACATCCATAGCAAAGGCTCTGAAGCAGCAGCTCGCAAACATAAATCAAGCTTCAGAGGTACCAGGTTTAATATTCCCACTGCCTCTGGATCACCTTCTGACACTCATTCAATACAATGTCCTACGCGCCTGTATGACGAACCTGTCCATTCTAAACCTGCTTCACACCACTCCCACTGATTGTCGCAACACTCTTAGCGCCCCTATGTTCCCGGCACCTTCCACCATTCCACCCTCTCTCTCTCCGACCCCTTTACAACTCAGCACTTCTCACCCCCAATGGATAGATATACTTCCGTGCCCGAAAATGCGAAACAATGCGATGCTTACTTTCCATGAAATCGATGAAGATGATTTGTGTAGGGATCTCTGTGGAGGTCTTTTTGAAGATTGTAATGATTTGGATGAGAAAGGGATACTGGTCTGGAATGATCCGTGGCATCCAAGTGGATGGGAAATTACAGAGGGGTTTGCGAGGAAGTGGGGCTTCTTGTTGAAGGGCTGCCATGAAATAGTCGAGGCTTCGAATAGGTGGAGAGGATTGAGGAATGAAGATAGGTTAATTATCGAGGTTTGAACTGATCACGATTCTTGCTTTCTTATAGATATTTCTTTTTGTTGCGGGGTCTCTTTGTATATTACTACAATAGGGCGGCAGGTTTGATAATATCCAAAGTAAGATCGGATCTGTGGATGGCATGATATCAAGGGATTTGTACGTACATTATAACCAATCTCTTATTCAATGATAATCTGTGGTCCTGGCCCAATCGGTAGATAATAATATGACATGCGATGGTTATTTGGGACTGAGTATGATTATACTACAAACAAGTGCAAAATAAAACGTATGCAGATAGAAGAGTTGGCGCGATGGCTGGAATGCTCGGATGTTGCCACCTCCGTGAATTGACCAGAATGAATCCCACTAAGACTGAATAGAAGAAAAATTACCTGGTACAATAGGTCGAATCCGCAATCACGAAGATCGGTCTATTCTTGAAATCCAGCAGCAACGTCATACTGCGACTGAAATCAGTTTCTACCAAAGAGATGCTCATATCTAGCATTTAATGTTCTCATTTGAATGAACTTGACTGGCAATGATAGTCCAGAAAATTTGATTCAAAATTTTCAAGTCATCTTGAAAATAGATAGTTCGAGTGGTAATATATCGCTAAATATAGCGTCTGTAGGATTCTCAGGGGTGCGATCCTCCTCGCTAGGAACCGCTAAATCCTCCGCATCTGCCGATTAATTGAAGCGGTACTATAATCTCTATCTTTGGCGGCATAAGGATCTTACAATCAGATGCAACGCACATGACGTCGATGCACGCTAATTTTTCTAGATAGATGCAGCATATGTGTTCGACGGGTTTTAAATATTGGTCAAGAGATATTGAAATCAACTAGCGAAACAAATTACTAATGTAAGGAGAACAAGTCTAGATGTCAGCGCATCCTACATCAGTAACTACCACTATCAGCATGTATTTGAGTGAGGTTGCAATCTCTAGTGTGTAATCCCCAAAGAGGATAGGAAAGTGGCTGTCAACTGACATCATCATGTCAGAGAAAGCAGCGTGCAAAGAACAACAATGCCATTCGGTTGCAGTAATCCGAGTTACCCGTGAATGGTTAAGAAACAAGCTTAATTCTATCAGCCCCCAATGTTATGCTCTCAGCGAAAGTGAATGACACCCCATCAATACACTGTAACTTAAGATACGACTAAGATTGCCCAATTTCAAGAAAAGAGAGATGGACAAGAAACAGCGTTTAGCTGTCATTATGGAAAGGGACTGTATTATCTATACTTGCGCATAATCATCCCATGCTTGATCTTTGTTTTCATCCCGATCTCGATGGTGTAATTTCGAGCTGAAATACTGCCCCAGATCCCTCAGAACGTATCTCAACTCGCGTTGAACCTGATATTGCAGAACTATTGACAGCGGGAGTTTCTAATTAAAAGATTTCAAACACCATGATCTATGCGCCGAAATTTACCTCGACGCCATGAAAGATATATTGGTATCGTCCAACATGTCCCTGCAAGAGCCAGCGTCCGAAGAGGAACCCATGACTATACAATTCGTCTCTGGTCGGGCAAAGGATCGTACAACCCAAAGCTTGATACGATCGCATGCGATGTATGCGTTTCGAAGTAAGCAGCGACAGCAGAATGCCAAACGAAAAATTGCCGCACGGAAACTTATGCCAGTTGAACGCGTCTGCGACTTTTCGATGTCTGATCCTAGTCAATCAAGCTCATCGCACGTAAAATCATCCGCTTATAACACACTTGACCCAATTCCTGAAACTGGTATCAAGAATCACCAATACGGATACAGCCATGATACTTCACTTGAAGTCACACAAGTGGGGATGCCATTATTATTCGCTTTTGCGCCCGTTCAACTCGACCCTTTAAACTCCGCACCCCATCCGCCACCCGATATAATTTTCAAGTACTCCCGAGAGGTGAGTACAATTAAACAAATTGGTGCGTCGCGTCATGAATTTCCGAGGTGATTGTGATGCCTATGATCATGAAGGTTGTGCCGAGAGCTAAATACTCACTTAGCTTTAATATTTTGTTCGCCAGGGCCCGAGAAATTACTTGATTTCCCAAAGGCTGCTGGACAAGCCTTATCGACAAGCATCATTTATATGATATATGCCTATTCATGCTCGGTCCGAGGGACGATAAACAATGAACTGGCTATGGGATTGAGAGATTCAGCCATTGCACAAATTGGTCAGAAACTAGCTCAAGAAGGAACATTATGGTCCAATGCTACAATAGCGTCAATAGCCTATTTCTCAACAGGTATTTGGGTAGGTGAGGGGGGTCGGAGGTGGAATATTGGACGGCTAATGATAGTATTTTAGGCAATCAAACGCGATGCAGAGGAAGTCGAGGCACATATGACCGGCATAGAATTGTTGGTCAAGAGACGAGGATTGGATAGCTTTGGAGTTTATCCTTTTGGACAAACAATACGAAAGTATCTAGTGATGTAAGCCACCGTACCCTAATGCGAATACCAATTTTGTGATTAACGCAGAAATAAGGCGTCACATAATTGCGAAGGCTATCAGAGCCGAAGAACTTCCTCTGAGCTTCGGCAATTCTTTGGTTCGATTGAAAGAGCATGAACCTCATTGTTGGCGATTTATATCCCCGTTATACTGTCCATCTGGCTCATTCGAGTTTATCAGGCAGTTGAAAGGGTTCGACGACTCCCTGGTCCAGGTTTTATACATTGCCAAGGATTTGATTGACCTTATTATAGGGGGATACGAGCAAACGGTCGATAATGCCAATTACCAAAGCCGCTTATCTGCAGCTTTGTACTTTCTACAGCCGGGTACTGTCAAAATGGGTCCTTCAAATCTGACATCCCAGTACTGGATTTTCGAATGCTGTAGACTTGCTACCCTCATAATATTTCAAGCCATGGAAACTTGCACCCCTCTTCCTTCAAGCGACGAGTACCTCACATCGGCAATGATTTGCGCCATAGAAAGAACGGATGTTGACGAAACTTGGGGGGACGTGTTAGGCATATTGTATTGGGTATCTATCATTGCTTGTGCGTCAAGTCAAGCTCGATCAGACCCTGGAATTCTGGATTCGAGATTAAGCAGGACGATATTCAAGATAGCTTCTTCCGTACAAAATTTCGAGTACGCGACAGGGCCTGCCCAGAAATTTGCGCAAATGCAAATGGTGTTGGCAAGGAGATATGAATTGGCTGCCGCTGGAAAGATTTAAAAGAATCATTGAAACAATTGAAAGAAGGGACAATGAGAAATGGGTGACAATAGCTCTAAGCCGGGAGGGGAGATCGTAGTGTTTCGGAGTGAAAGTTCACCGTTTCGTTCCTGCAATATGAGATGCACAAGTGGAGCATGCGGTGGTCTGTGCGTTGATTACAATCTGACCTCGTAGCGTGACTGAAAATTGGTTACATAGTTGATCATAATAATGATTGTGTATTCAGAACCAATATCTTATATGTCAGTATTCTAAAGTAATAAAAACAGAAATGTTCCACATAACAAAAAAGACCAATTATGAACTCAAAGTGGTTCCCCAGCCTTTAATCAGGGGCACCAATTCCCCGCAATAGCTCCTCTCAAACTTGACATACCTCTTGGTCCCTCCAAAACTCCACGCCACGGCGTTCATCTCTTCCCTATCATAACTAGGTGCAAATTGCACAAACTTTTCCAACTGCGCATTGATCACTGGCCACTTCTTCGCCGCTCTATCTGGCAATTTCAATGCATAATAGCCCACCCTCTCGATTTCTCCGCTATCAACCTTGATTGTAACCGCAAATGTGTACCCCACTGCGTTGAGGAACTCTCGCATTTCAAAGAATTGAGTTTGAGTCGGTGCTTCTGCACCAGCTAATGCGTTGAAAGAGGTAGCTTGTTGTAGAGAAATGGGTCCTTGGGCCCGAAAATATAAATTCACAGTTCCCTTTTGGTAGTCGACCGCCACATGACGAACCTTATCCAACTCCAGCGCCTTGAATCTCTCCTCATGCTGGCTCAAGCTGTCTGGCACGCCCTCGGCACTCAAAATATCACCGAGTGGTCTCATGCCTCTCATGTATACCCATGCTTTTACCAAACCCTTCTCGGCGTCGAAATCACACGATTCTTCTGGTAAGCCATCATATAACGAGCTCCAGGATGTAACCAATTTCCCTAGGGTACTGACGATATCCGGAGAAAGAAGGCCGGCGGATGAGGCAATGGTTACAGTATCTATGGGTCTTCGGGAATAGAAGCGATAATTTAAAGCATCACCCAGACGGTCTGTTGCACGCCATAGAACAACACCGTCATGGAATGAATCGGAGAAGACAGAGAGAACAGTTTTGGTCGTGGACTCGGAATATGGTGCGTTGATCGCAGCTGAGAGAGTTTGGATATCGTTGAGGAAGCGCGATTGATCGAACTTTGAAGGTTCAGAGACCACTTGAACAACCATTTTGCTCTCGAAGTAACAATTATTGAGTGAGACACAATTGTCTCATGATTATGGCTTTGGAAATCCAAATATTTATATCCAGAGGCCCTTACACTCGCCCATGGCCGACGTAGTGGCTGTTGATGACCAACGCCATAATCTCGGCACACATGCAAAGTAACCAGACTGGTACTCAATCCCCGAGTCCTGTAAGAAATTTAACTTTAATTTAATGATAGAAATCTTCAACGTTCCACTCGGAGTCAAGGTGGTTGCTTTGCGGAGGATCAAAATGTGCAAAACACAAGGATTGAATTCTCACCGCATGTTTCCACTATTAACCGATGCACGGAATTTGCAACGCGCCCAGAACCATGGTATTGGGAGGAAGGGTCAGTGGAGATGATTCCATCCATCCTTCTGGAATCGTCATTGGTGTCGGTACTGGCCATTATTGGCTTGGGATGTACCAGATCAACATTGTAGTGTGGAATGATAGCCTATTTTAATTCGGGATTACGTGGGCCCCCCACCCGAAGACAATAACCGGCAATGATCCGGAATCCGAAGTCTTGCACCTACCCCTATACAACGCAAATATGGCTTTTGGTATATGACCTGCGATAACTCCATTAACTCCAATCCGTTCCATGCGGTATTCATACACGTCTTGAAGTAAAACACCACAGATAAGGCCGCAGTATAACTTGATTGTATGATGCGGGTTACGCTTAATTAATCTTTCTTCTATATCATACGAAGATTAGTAAAAATAGCGTCATGTTCAAGGGTGTTAACTTGTAGCGAAGGTTTGTTATCCTCTAGGTAAGTGATCACGTTCTTATTCCCTTTCCATGTCTCTCTCGCCCACGTCTTGGCTGGGATACTCGCCAAAAACTGGACGATCCCGAAGACCAAGAATACCAAGTCCGACTCCGGCCTCTTCACGCATTGTTTCAATGCTGCTCTTCAAGAGACCGCGATCCTTCTCGATATTTCACTCTTCCTCTTCGGAGCTCTCCCTCTCCCCGCCTCTTTTTTCCTTGTGATTGAAGAATGGACCTCTTTTCTCCTCCCTCTAATAGTATCATATTGATCATTCTTTTCCTGGCCCAGAAGAAGCAAAGGTTTGGAGCAGAGAACTGTTTTTACCAAAGAGAAAACATATTGAAAAGCACATAAGATTTAAATTGCCCAAAATTCCTGTTGATGAAATACACCAAATAACTATGTAATAAAAGGGCAACATAACATCATCGCCCCTTTCCCTCTCACAATACCAGCTTCTACTATCCATTCCTCCTCTCAACCTAAATTTGGATATTTCCTTTCCAAGTCTATGCCAAGAGCAATTGGCCACTCCCTCCTGCACCTGATACTTGGTGATAGCGAACCTTTCCCATTTTGCTCTCCAGGAGAGTGGAGAGTGGAGAACGGCGAAAGTGGAACAACAATGCCTCATGTTTCCGATGCTCTGCTCAAAGTTTCTGTAAGCTTGACTAAAATTGAGAGCCTCAAGAAATATTTTGCTTGAAATACATACTGTTCGGGAAGTTCGGAATTGGCCCCCTGTTCTACAACCTTCTCTTCACTTGACTCTGCCATAAAAAAGTAAAGCCAGCTGCAACCAGAGTAGTGTTCAGCTTCAAGAAGATGCATTATTCGCAAGTCTATCCATCCAGTATGTAGGCTGGCACATATGTAGAACAGTCTTTTAACTTCTGCTGTAGATATCTTGGAGCTGTGTGACCTGATGTTATGTCTCGAAACATTGCCTGAGGAGATACGGTCAGCGTCCGTCTGTAGCTGTGTAATTCGTCTCAGAGGTTGTTAGATGCGATAGTCGAAAAAAAGCCTGAAGTAATCATGATCAAAAACAAGTTAAGGTACGAGGATGCAAGGAAGTTTTCGTAAAGCCAATGTAGGGTTCAGCTTATTCGCTTGAGTACACCGGTGTAGATTTTCCGGGGAGGGGAGGGGGTTGAGTTTGATTTTAATCATGAACGATCCATATTCCAATTGAACTTGTACTGGAATTTGAATATCTGCGAGATAATTACGAGAAAGCTTTACAAAAGTTAACCGAAGTAACCAGAAATCCCGAGAAATACAAAGCGAATCCTGTTAAAAGAGTATACATCCCAAAAGGGAATATCCACACAGCGATAATTTTCTGCCTAGTAGAATGCCGATTCCTCCTATGAAGGTGGTATTAGCGAGATGCGATCTTAGAACTCCAAGTCTGTTAAACACTGACCTTTACCCCTCAAGATTTCAGGAGATACATGCCTGTCACAACCGATAAGTAGCATATTAACGTCGCTAAAATATATTCTCCTTATCATGCTTGGTCTTGCGTACTAATATACACACTAAATGGCGAGGACTAAAAATGTTCCGATCAGATTCCTCTATCAGTTATAACTGCGTTGACATCATCGGTTCAGATCGTTACAGCAAACGGACATGCATCTTTCTAAAGCTTCAATAAAAGTCCTGACATTATCAACTTTTATATAATGAACATATGATCATATTAATCAAACTTCAGTGCCAAGGCAGTGGGTTTGAAGATGAAATCCAACGTTGCTTCCGTTCCACGTCAAAAGATGGTAGGCAGTAAATGATCTGACACCATAATTCGCTAATCTGCTCACAATGTTGAGAGATCGAACCTCGAGGGCTCGAATCGATTTTGATAAGGGACTCTGATCGTCACTCGACGATGTAATATGGAGGCATTTGATGACAAGTAGAAAGTGTAGACTGTTGGTATGCCTGAGAGACTCCGAGTTCAAAGCTAAATGTGAAAAGAATGGACACAGAGTTTCGGAAAGCCCCAATCTATGCACATATGTGCAAGCAATGATGGAAACTCTTTATTCTACAAGAAATTCTGAACGCCCAGTGAATAATGCATTGATGCTTTTTATCGATGCAGTTTTGGCATCCAGAAGCGTCAGATTAATTAGTAAGCATGATGAGGCTGTCGAGCGGTCCCTCATATTCCGGTGACCGAAAAAACCAAGTGCGAAGTTAAGCTCAATAGTTGCCGCGTCAAGGTTGACAACCTAGAACTGTCAAACAACTCCTTCTTCATACCACCACAACAAATTTACCCTCTTTTTTGTAATTGTTCTTTGATTCGATACCCCAAAACTAAATCAATTTATCTTTTGCCATAATGTCGGACGAAACTATTCGTAAGCCTGATAAGGACTTCTCCAAAGAGGTTGACACACAACTTCCAGAAGCTGAACAGCTTGCACAGGTATAGCTCTCTTGTGATTGGAATCGTCTACGAGGTTTTCTGACATATTTTACTTCAATAGACAAACGTGCAAGGTGCCATCGAGAAGCTTACAGTGTTGGAGAAACAAACAAGACAGGTCAGACTGAGACACTTTACAAATAGGCGCAAGCCATTAACATTTCCAACAGGCATCAGATCTTGCATCAACATCCCGAATTCTTGTTGGAATTGTCACTATTTGCAAGAACGCCAACGATTGGAGTTTATTGAACGAACAAGTTCTGTTATTATCAAAGAAACATGGCCAACTTAAACAAGCTACAACAAAGATGGTACAGGTTGTTATGGAGTTTTTGGATTCGACACCAAACCTCGAAACGAAGCTTACAGTAATCGAAACATTGCGTACGGTGACGGAGGGAAAGATTTTCGTCGAAGTTGAGCGTGCCCGCGTTACAAGAATTCTCTCCGATATCAAGAAGGAACAGGGTGATCTCAAGTCTGCAACGGACATTTTGTGCGAGTTGCAAGTAGAGACATTTGGATCTATGGAGAGGAGAGAAAAGACGGAATTTATCTTGGCACAGGTCGCATTATGTATAGAGAATAACGACTGGACACAAGCTGGAATCTTGAGCCGGAAGATCAGTACCAAATATCTGTCAAGAAAGCCAAAGAAGACTCCAGAGCAGTTAGTGAAGGAGGCAGAGGATCGAGAGAAAAGAAGAAAGAAGGGAGAGGATGTTCCAGAGCCAAAGGAGGACGATGTGACTGATCTTAAGTTGAAATACTATGAGCAACAAATCACTTTGGCGAAGCATGATGACAAATACCTTGATGCTTGCAAGCATTATAGACAGGTTCTTGATACAGAAGCTGTTGAAGAGGACCCCCAGAAGCTTCATTCCGTAAGCTTTGAATTTTCACTTCTCTCCAGAACAAAACTAACAACCACAGGTTTTGCAAAGAATCATCTACTACGTCATCTTAGCTCCTTACGATAACGAACAATCCGATCTTCTCCACCGCGTCCACAAAGATACTCGCAACAGCCAAGTATCTCTCGATGCTCAACTCCTCAAGCTATTCACAGTTCCGGAACTCATGAGATGGCCCGAGGTCTCGAAGATATTTGGCCCACACCTCTGTGGAACCGATGTTTTTGATCTTTCAGAAGGGCAATCTGCAGACCCCAAAGCAAATAAGCGTTGGGAGGATCTACGCAAGCGTGTGATCGAACACAACGTTCGAGTTGTTGCCAAATACTATACTCGAATCCAAATGCCCCGATTGACACAACTTCTCGATTTGACGGAAGACGAGACGGAGAAATACATCAGCGAGTTGGTCACTGCTAAAACTGTTTTCGCTAAGATCGACAGACCTGCTCGTATCGTCAACTTCGCTAAGCCAAGAGATGCGGATGATGTTCTTAATGAATGGAGTGGAAATATGAAGAGTTTGTTGGGGTTGCTGGAAAGAATTGATCATTTGATCACCAAGGAGGAAATGATGGCTAGAATCCAACCAAACAAGTCATCAAAGGGCTCAAAAACTGGAAAGGTCAAGGCATAATGATCTTTCCTAATCTACCATTAATGATACCTACCTCTTTGTACAATTATTCTAGATTCTAAATGACATGAATCTCTTGCCCATGCCTATCTATCTATTTCCAGCTTTGTGATTCCATCGATCCTATGTATACTCATTCCGTTGATTAAAGCTCTTCTCCAACTTAGAAAGGAACATCCATATCCTCGACGCTCTCTTCGGCCACTGGCTTCTTTTCATCCAAACACTTCACCATAAATCCCACAGCCACATTACCAAACTCCTTTCCCATTGGCACAAAATGACCCCCTGGATGATAGCACACCTCCCTGCTTTCTTCCTCGCTCGCCTCTACCAAAGCCATACTCCTATGTTCTTCCACAACCGTATCCAAACTCCCTATGACATGCAGAATACGCGTTTTTAGAGGGGATTATAAAATGCGGTGTATCCATCATAAGGTGCATAGAAACCGGAATAAGAAATGCAAAATTTGAGGGGAGGGTGGTGAAGTTGTTGTTTCAGGGCAGTAAAGGAGGAGGGGTAGGAGATTGCTTCGGATGGGTTTTTAACGCATTGGAGCGCAAAAGCACTTTCGCGGTTTGCCTCCAATAAACTGGCCACAAAATATGCGGCGCATGCGCCTTGGGAAAATCCAATAACTCCATCAATTCCTCCTGCTTCGCGGATTGTGGTTGCGATTGTATCGAGGCCTTTTTCAATGCCAGCATATCTAGCTCCGCCGGTCTCGCGTTTCCACCATCCGTATGCATCGGTTGGTGCCAAGAACGGGTCGTCGGAAGGTGTATAGCCGGGAATATCGGCTGGCAAAAGGGGGATTGGAGCAGTAGGATATAGGAGCTGGATGCCGCCAGGGTAGACGGGATGAGAAGGGGGGAATTGGCGAGTGAGGAGTTTTGTCAAGGCTTTTGTCTTGGAATTGAAGGATGGCCCGGATTGAGTGTAGCCTGTATAAAATTAAGCATTCGAATTAAGAGGGCGAACACATAAAAGAAGGAGAAAACCACACACCATGCAACATCAAAATCTTAAGTTTCCTTGGTCCAGGCCCCTCCGCCGGTGTTGTGCCATTTGTAGACATACTTTGGGTATCAGAACAAAACCTACGGAAACGTGGCAACACTATGGACCTAGAGGAAAGGGAGAGAATTTGAGTGTGGAAGAGAAACGGAGTTCGAGAGAGGGGAATCGAAAAGACATGGTGCATTTTGAGAGAGGATATCTATCAATGGAGATAAGGAGGGGACATGACAAACTCGGGTCAGCCTTGCGCTAAGCTTGTTTTGGGCCGGCGAGGTTGTGGGGTTGTGAATTGAACATCATTGCAGTAGCTTTTAATCTTAAAATTGAGCAACTGTTGTTTTAGATGAGTATTGATGTTGCTATTCATCGTTCGTGGTTATGTCTCCCCTTGTTTCGTAGACTGGTCGTCGCGCAAAGCTCGATCATGAGGTTCGGGAGGCACTAAATTCGGTAAATAAAGACATCAAAAGCTTTCTCTGATATGTAGTACTGAACAATATTCACGTTTCAATTTGCAATGTCTTAAGAACGTGCAAACTTTGCTCTGGCATAACAATGCACTGAAAATATAAGAACCGGCTCGTCGCCACCCCCTTGCTCCACTCTATAGGTAAACAAACCTTAGCGAATATCATCCCTCTCCTTTCATCAGAATACCAACCTAGAAACTCAATCTGGTACCGCAAACTCGATCCAGCTATGACATTTGGTATTATTGATTTTGATATCTTACGATAGAGAGTTCCGATTCTATTAACTTTCATCATCTCTCAATTCCAAGAGCAAGGAATTTTACGTTCCGAAGTACGTGAAAAGTTTCGAGGTATATGGACTTCTGTGGGGTGAAAAACTCAATTCTCTCGTAGCCTGAACGTCGTACTATCTTTTGTTTATAAGATTCTCACAGCATTCATAAAATATACAACTCATTTACGGGGTAAGAAATGGCATCGTGGGACGACAATCTGCTTGTGAGAACGGCAGGAGAAGCTTATTCGGTTTGAAAGATCTGAAGTCTCAATCTTTCAGACCTAAAAGGCTATCAGAATCTCAAGAACATAAAAAAGCGTTTCTAGATATCTTATCTTCTTGCTTTAACTTCCAGGTGGTGTTTGCGGTTTCAGATGACTCCAATCCGCGTCTCCCACAAACGGGGTCTTCCAAAAGTCATCTCAATAATATATGCAGTTTGCGATTACTTCGGTTCTTGGTTGACAATTTTCTACTCAATTCAAGAAAGACAGACATAGAAGACTAGAAACCGGACTGCTTCCGCTTTTCTCTGGGCCTTATAACTCCAATTTTCAAGAACCCCTCGTCAAAATTCGAATCATGCAACGCGACCAAGCTCCCTGAATATCAACTATGACGCCTTACTATCGAATTTAACGAACATCTTATCAGCCTGCGACTCAAAAAAATGGAGCAATCAGTCAAGTATTTGACCATATCACCACACGCATTCATCGGCCTCTACTTTCCAATATTCATCACCAAGTTCTTCTACGTCCTGCTCGTTCTCATAGAAAGTAGCATCATATTCCCGCATGATCTCCACTCTCTCATCCATATTTATCGCCATATTGATTCTCCCGAAATCTCTCGGCAACAATTTCTCCTTGCCTTCATGCGTATCATATCTTAATACCCAAACACCTCCTCCATCTGTTGACCATCCGAAGATTAAGCCTCTTTTCTGTGCATTTGTAGGCATTGGGGAGGGTACACCTGCTTCTTGGTAAATGTCTTCTGAAGAAGTCCATTCGCTCTCGTGATGACGTTCGCTACTCCACCAGATTGCCCCAATCTTTCGTATCAAGATACAAAACTCATCTTCTTCAATAGGATCATGTGATCTTTGAGTTGGGTAAAGACGATTCAGAGATAGGAAATTCATATCCACAATATTAGCATTTTCTTTGATGAAAATGCCACCGGTAGAGGGGTAACCATATATTGTGCAGCCGCTAGTGTGGAATATCGCACGCATGGTATAATTGAAGGCGGGATAGAGTAGACGACGTTCCGCTGCCATACGGGAGGCCGCTACAAGTATTGGGTCTACTGCAAGAGGTTCAGGAGCTGGAAAAAGAGATGGGAAGGTGCGATAAAATTTGTCGACAATCATGGGAGTAATATCAGTGCCGAAGAAGTTTGCTAGGAGAAGGAGTATATAAATTCCGGCGCTAAGTGTATGTGAGTGGTATGCCAAGTGAAAAGAAACTGAGTCTTACCCAACACCTATAATTGTTGGGAAAAGCATTTTGGTAAAATGTTTTGAGTGCATGAGGAATGTTTCGCGGAATTCAATTCAGCAATGATTAGAATTCTATCACCTTTTACTTTCTTGTCCTTCGATTTGATGTTGTAAGATGTTGTTGCCTAGTCTCGCTAAGCGGCTAAGTGTGCTTTCCCACACTTATCCATAAGCTGTGACGAAAAGACTTGGGGTAAACGACGTATGTAATTACTTCAATCACCGTGGCCGATTTTTAATTTACCTAGACAATTTACATCTAGGAAAGACAATTTTAATCTCACATTCAAAGCATCAACACCAAGCGTAAACATGTGCATGAGGTTGAAACCTTGCGAGTGCAATCACTAGACTATTATGCTCAGCAGCGCAGTCACTCTGGCTGCCTATATTCCCCCAGGTTGACAATTCTTTCAGTCATTCCCTCAAAAAAAATCCATCTCTCCTCAATCAATCTCAGAGAAACTTTAGCCCCTAACATGGCGAGGTCAGGCAGATGTCTTACCAGATCAGCGTGGACGATCATGGCCATTTTTGAACCCTTCAAAAAGCTATTGTCCAGTGTTAGATTTCTGATCCCATAAATCGCATGCAATATTGCAGTTTTCATCTTGGTTAGCTTGCGTAAGCCACGCTTCAATGCGTGCCTTGAATACTTTACCCCCTTCCCATCTGTTTTTCGCCTGCTTTCACCTTCTTCTCTTTCTTATTGAACGTTGGCTGGTTGCTATTAGCCTCAAGTCTGAATCGATGTGAACTCAGGAAAATATCATGATTGAGTTTTAATCTGCAATTTTCATAAATTTCAAGAGACGGAAACGTAAGAGGTCTGACTTGCCAATCTTGATAGCACCTTTTCACCGAGTCAATCTTCCCGCTAGTGGTATGGAATATAGTGTCTATATCTCGGATCATCTGACTAAAGCCATGAGTTATACATCAGTACATCGTGCGAATGTATTGAAACCAACGTTATATCTATACTTTGCGCTTTCTCAATTCGTGCATTCAAATATCTTACGTTATCTATCAGTAATTTAATGCACTCTTATTTCAAAGGCCACTTCATCTTGTGCGAAAGTGCTTCTACTTGACTTCTCAGTCCTTGCTGAGTCTTCTCATGTACTAAAAGCCGAGACTGGTAGAGTTTATATTCTTTGCCCAACATCGAGTCTTTGAACATGATTCCTTCCAAGCTTTTCAGTCTGTCCTTGAACTCCTGGCTACTGGCCTCATCTTGTAGCATTTCATTTCACCTCCAAAGCTCCATCCAGAAATCATGTATCTCATCAAGTATATTACCCACTTCCATATCCACCTGCTTGACACCTTGAGCTTTGCGAAAACACGATATGCTGACGTACGAAGGCAATTGACAAATCTGATACCGGATCCTATGGCGGGTGAAATGTATATTGCTTTGTATTACCAGAGTGTTGACGAAAGAGAAAGCCTTGGTAAGATGAGATACTTCTGAGCCAGAAAGTTGAGAAGTCATCACCAGGTTACACGTAGTTGATCATTTGAAGCACATCAGCTAATGCACAAGAGAAAGCCGCTACGAAATCATTTTGATGACGGTTTAGGCAGTCACTAAGATTTAGCACACGAAAGAGGCAGTCGAGTGCATCTGGTCATGTAAAAAACTATTTCCTACTCGGCCGTCATAAAGCAAGAAACCCGCAGTTCTCTCTGAGGAATGAGACCAATTTTCCTGGACAGCTTTGTTCTAAAGAAATTATACGTGAAACGAATTCGAGAGTGCCTGAAAGGCAGGAAAAGATATATCAGTTTGTGGGAATGTGAAGGTTGGGAGGTCTTTTTTTCTCTTTCCACAAGAAAATATTTTGCAACGTCTCTACCTAAAAGATATTGTCAAAATATAATATTATAAAATCACTCGTCCTTTTTCTCTTCAGAGGAGATAAGTGTAACAGGATAAGCAATTTTCCACCACGATTCTTCGTCTTCAGACCGTAGAAGACCTCCTCTATCCTCTCCGATTCAATTCTCTGGATCGTTAGGTGTGCTCAATCGTAGACAAGAACTAGATGCTAATTACTATATACTCTTGAATGTTAAGAAACTTCAGAAGCTTCCCTGAAAGGTTTCCTCTAATCTAGACTGAGATTCCAATGCTCGAGAATTTACATAGAACAGATACTGTAAGTATTCACCAGTAGATTGAAAGAACCCGCCGACCTCGCTGTCGCCACTGGACATCGATAACTTTCAACTTTGCTTGTTATATAAGATTGGGATTGAGATGGGCATCTAAGACGGAAAGTCAAGACGGGATATTCTTATTGAGCTGGTGTCGTAGAGGTTGATTCGATGGTGATCTGTAAGCTATTGAAGGAGAGGAAAGAAGGTTTCCGGTAGAACAACGAGTAACGGTGCTTGAATTTTCTTGAATTTGTTGTGATTTTGGATGTATGAACCGGTGGGAAATGACAACGAGGCTATAAAGGGGTAGGAATTGAGAAGATATTTAATTATCGACAATGATATAGGCAAGCTATTGTTGAGTGGGGATAGCCATGGCACCCGTTTATATCGCTTTCAATGAGGTAAAATTTGTTCACAGAAACACTGAAATGGATTATAGAGTGAGGTTAGATCTGTCATTCGAACAGATTTCGCCTATTCATTCGTTATATCAATACATAGGTACCAAGATATAATATAATACTAGAAAAACCTACAAGTTCTTGAATTGCATGGTTGATTTTATCTAAATTCTAAAGACCAGATTGTATATGCCCTCAGTCATATGATGTCCGCATACAACCGAGTAGTTGGCTTTGTCCCGCCAACCATAGATTTGAGTATCAAATTATATTTAAACCCCTAGATCGCATAGCTCACTGGCCTACGGAAAGCAGAAGATACCACGGCAACTAGAAGGTCTGTACAATCTCCAATGTTTGGACCACCGTTAATCCACGTGTGATGAGTGACAGAAGATGATGTGACAACCGTAACACTTAGATACTACGACAAGCGTGATTGGCATCACCAAAAGTCTCACTGTAATGATAATCGAGAGGCTCAAAATGCAAGTGTCACAAAAATACGAGTAAAGACGAGACATACATATATGCCGGCGGGAATGTTAGGATGAACACGGTACCTGCGTTGAAAGCCTGTTCAAAGGATCAAGTCCTAAGGTTTCACGGCAGTGTGGTATGTACTTCGTAGTACGCTGGCAACACTTTACAGCATGAATTTCGAACCACTGCCGAAATTGGGGAAGCACTCGTTCGTTCACTGCGCTGGCAACCACGTTCCACTGTATAAAGAAAAACGGATCTCTGGAGTCACGACATCCGGGATCGTCAAGCCGACATAGTGTTAATTTCATTCTTGAAAGGATGAAGGGCTAGAAGGAAAGAAACTCTGGAGCGAATGCGGAGAAGTGCTACTTTGCAAATTTTCAGGACTGACATGCTGGCATGCAATTTCGGGAAGTATGGGAAGAAGTTTTCGTGGAAACATTCTTGAGATGGATGAACATTGGACAGCAAATTGATGAAAACAAATCCGAACGCGTATCCACTCTCGAACCCAGGATGAAAGATGAAAAATATGCATTTCACAAGTTCCACAAAACTAGTGAAGTTTTCTCCGTTCCTCTCCTCCATCGGTTCGCACCCGCCTTGCGTAGATATAACTCCACCATGACGATATCAAGACTCGATTAGTTGCATCTGGGCCGATTATTCAATAAATTGAAAACCGCGTAAACAATATTGAACTTTAATATACATAGTCCGTAAATTGAAGGCCAAAGTAAATATAGTATAAAGACCCCATAGTTCATTTCCGCTTATCGCCAGGAAATGTCTTAGACTCTTAGGGGCGCTTGATATCGACACTAACGCCATATTAAACCTCTTGGTATATTGCACGTGAATAAATGGAGGATCTGCGTTTGCGTTATAATTAGGATGATCGTTGCGCAAGTTGAAAAAGAAGGTCGAAATACGACTGTGATAAAATCTGAGGGCGGCGAGCGCGGAGAACTTTTGTGAGAAATAGGAGAAAGGAACACGATCTCGTATTACCTCACCTCACCTCTTCGAATTTCGTTACTTGTCACCTACGGAAAGACGGTGTGATCAAAATCCGAGTATCTCGCTTGCACATGCTTCCCGTGTACTGTACCTTTTCTTTTCCCCCCTCGAGTTTGAGTAAGATGCAATATGTGTGTACCTGCAGATTTTTTTAGATGTCTCTGATCCACGCAATTCGCCAATGCAAGGCAAGATCTCGAGACTCGAGCTGACATAAGATTCCCAACCTCCTGAGCTGATGATACACGAGATGGAATCGGAATACAGCGAATACGAAAAGTGCGAAGAGAAAAGATCGAACTTGAAGTAACAGGAAGGAAGGATTCTTTCGTACGAAGTACAATGTAAATAAATGCCTATTTTGACTGGGCGGGGATTTCAAAGTCTCTTGAAGCAAAATGAACGCATTTGATTTGTTCTTGAACTCTGCGAAAGTAATGAAAGATGGGTTTCAACAGGTTGTTGGCCCTTGCAATGTAATCCTTGATCCTCTAGCGAAGCGAATAGAGAATCTATTTAATCTGAAACGGTGGAATGAGATTGCTCGGACTAGAGTCTTGGATAGGAAACCACGAGGGTAGCAGGGATTATGATTGTGATTGTGTGAGATAGAATAGGTCCAATACCTACGAGGTTACTATGTAGAAAGTGGAAGAGTGGAATGAAGATGTCTAATTTGAAGATACCAAATTTATTGAAAAGCTTCCGGCGTTTCGCTGATACAGAGTAGTAAAGGATTATAGCGTGTGATTTACATGCGTGGTATTTGCTTGAAGCTTGTTGAGTATGGATAGTGTGAGTGTATATGAGTGCCAGTAGTTAGTAGTTGTCCCGAAGAGTCGATTATTCCGCTCGCATTTGTCTCTGTTGTGTTGTGTTGTGTTGTGTTGCTATTTCTACCCTCCTTGCTTGTTCCTGGATTCGCCCGTT